GACACATCACAAAAATTATACACCATGATCAAGTTGGTTTTATTCCAGTGTTACAAGGTTGGTTCAACATAAGTAAATCTATAAATATAATACATCACAGAAATGTGCTTTATAGGAAAGAAAATATTCCACAAGGCCGTGGGACTGACACTATCATTGTTGTTATACATTAGCAACATTGCCACCACGTTATTAATAGCAAACTAAGAATAGGTAAATTGTGGTAGAGACTGCCTAAAGTATTTTTATGAATGAAACTGAATTTTCCTCTAAAACTAAGATAATGCCTTGACTCCCTCTTTAGCCTTGAACAGTCATGATCACAAAGAATACCGATTTTTGTGTTGATCTGACTTTATAAGCTCTTATGTAACAGTTAAACCTTAGATGTATTTCAGGCACTGTTCAGCATTATTTATAAATAAGAACTTTAAAAATTCTTATTATAACTTTTGAGGGAGGAACTCTTTCTATTATCATTTTACTGATGAGAAAACTAAGGCATCGATGGTTTAAGTAATTCACCAGAGCCACACAGCTGGTAAATGGCAGAACTGGAGTGATGATGACTTGACAGCACATATACAAATGAATTTATGAAGTTATTAATTAAGTGTGAGGAAGTGTAAACTGGTTCACCACATGCTTTAGTTTGCTAGGAAAGTAAAAGGAACAAAAAGAGAAAAAATAATCTAGTTGGAATTAAATTTTTTTCTTTCTTTTATCTTTTTCCTGTCTCTTTCTTCTTCTTTTTTTTAATTGGGGAGGTAATGAGTTTCTTTGTCTGAAAATATTACTTCATTAATCTGCGCATGAAGCTGAAAGAAAGCATTATTATAATTATCCAATAATGGCAATTTTACACCAAAATCAATATGGTATCCTGACACTCATAGTCATTATCAAACAGTACTTCACTGAGATTGGAATGTATTTATGGCAGGAATATATTCAGCTTCTTTTCATTTTTTGCCTTGTATGGTCAGTTGCAAACCTAACCACAAATTCTTTCTCTTCTTGTATCTTTGCCTGTTTCTCAATGAGATTTTGCATCGCCTTCAATTAAGAAATGAAGTTTGTTTCTCCATTTTTTAACCTAGATTCAGTCATGCGGTAAAGTTAAGGGATGTTAAAAATTCAGATGCAAGCTGAAGGTTGAAATGCGCTCGTGCACTGAGGCATTTTTTTTCTTGTTACTCTTAGGAACTCTGACTATTACCACACAAAAAAAAGCATCAGCTAGTATGCTAAAGAATAGGGGCACATTGGCCAGTTAATTGCCATTGACCCTACAGCCAGCTATCCATCCATCAAGCGTGTACTTGAATTGTCTGATTGGACTCAAGGTGGGGCGTAATGGTAGTGGGCACCAGCATGTCACTGGCGCTGTCTTCTCTCCTATCCGTGCTGCTCTTCGCCGGGATGCAGATGTACAGCCGCCAGCTGGCCTCCACCGTGTGGCTGATCATCCTGGGGGGCTGCTTGGCTTTGGCCTCTTCGTCTTCTCTCTTACTGCCTTCAATAATCTGGAGAATCTTGTCTTTGGCAAAGGATTCCAAGCAAAGATTTTCCCTGAGATTCTCCTCTGTCTCCTTTTGGCTCTTTTTGCATCTGGCCTCATCCACCGAGTCTGTGCACTACCTGCTTCATCTTCTCCGTGGTTGGTCTGTACTACATCAACAAGATCTCTTCCACTCTGTACCAGGCAACAGCTCCAGTCCTCACACCAGCCAAGGTCACGGGCAAGGGCAAGAAGAGAAACTAACCTTGAATGTTCAATAAAGTTGATTATTAAAAAAAAAAAAAAAAAGAAAGAAAGAAATTGCCTGCTCATCAAACTGATCACAGACAGGTGGGTGAATTTCATCAACACCATATAGAGCCCAAGCAGTGCGAGGTAAGACCAACTCAAAGTACCAAATTACAGTACACCTTCGTCTGTCTAGGCTGCTATAACAAAAACATTATATACTTAAAGGATTAAGCAACATTTATTTCTTGCAGTTCTGTAAGCTGGGAAGTCTAAAGTCAAGATGCCATCAGAGTTCATGACTGGTGAGGGCCAATTCCTGGTTCACAGACAATTGTCTTCTCACTATTTCCTCAGTGAGAAAGTTCTTTCTTTTGTAAGGGCTCCAATTCCATTCATGAGGGCCCCACTCTCAGGGCCTACTCTCTCAAAGGCCCCACCATGACACTGGGGATTAGTCTTCAACACATGAATGGGGCGGGGATGGGTCACATTCAGTCTATGGCAAGGTACCATCAGAAATTTTTTTAAAAATTTAGTTTAAGCCCTACATTTTGGAATAATTTATCATGTATCATTCTCTACCTTGACAGAAATTGTATCTGACCCGCCTTTAAAGGGAATAGAAACCTCTGGTAAGACATATGGTTGAAAAATGGAAGTCTCGCCCCATTCTGTAGCAAGGCAAAGGTTATGGCTGTAGGAGAAAGTTAAGGTTCTGGTACAAATGAAGAGAACTGAGGAAATTAGATTCTAATTCTCCAAGTCTTGATAATACCCTCACTAATCTCAGGGAAAGAACTGTTCTCTCAAGGATTGCCTAAAATTTACAGCAGCAAGACTGTGGCTGGGACAAGACTCATTGCAATCAAAGATGATTTACCTTTTATTGCATTTAGGCTTTCTTTATGCTTTCCCATGCTCAGAAGCAGAGCACATAATGGCTGTGTGCTCTACCAGCTCAGGGGCACTTCAGTGCTATGGATCAGTCTTAATTCTCTTAGAATGTGCATAATTGCATTACAGAAGCAATGGATTGGCTTATGGGACTTACACTCTTTGGCTGTGTTTACTTTCCTTCCTACCCCAGAGCCTGTGCCACCACACAGCACCCTTCATTTCCAAAGGATGCCTGAGCACTTCATAAACTTAGCCAGTGAACTTATAAACTTTATGACTAAGGAATCAGTCCACCTCAGGAAGGTAACCTGCTTCTGGTGTGAAAAGTAGCAATTGTTTACATATGGCATGAGGGGTCCAGGCAATAGGTTTAAAACCCTGAGATTCCTTGGAGCAGGTCCTGGTAGGATTTCCTTTCTTTTATTAAATTCTCTTCTGCCCTGGGTTCAGTTGACTGAGCCCAAAGGAAGTGTATACAATGACTGAACTCAACCCTTGACCCTATGCACCTGGACTGGCTTTTGTGTACTGAACTAGGACAACCTCCCAACTCCATCCATAGAGAAGGGTCTGTATGAAAAAGAGAATCCCTCTTTAAACTCTTTAAATTCAAATGTTTTTTTAAAAAAGAAAATCTATTATTACTATTCAGCTATTCAAAAAGATGAAGACTTTACATCTTTTGTATTAATCTGGATAAAGGTGGAACATTTTCTTCTTAGTAAAGTATCACAGAAGTGGAGAAGCAAGAATCCAATGTACTCAATTCTAATATGAAGCCAGTAGACAGTAAATAGATGCTCACCTAAGAAGAAAATTCAAATCAATTGAAGGTGAGGGGAGGAGGAATGAGGGAGCAGGTTGAGGGGAAGAGGGTAGGAGATGGGTGTGCTCCAACTTCATGTGCACAGTGTTAGGCTGTACGGCACATTGGCACATCCCTTGGGGGTAAGACACCATAATAAGAAGGGCTTTACATAATAAGTGCAAACAATGTAGAGACTTTGCTGTACCTTCAATTAACCTGAAATAATGAAAATAAAATAAAAAATAAAATAAATAAGTAACCGAAAGTAGTAAGAAATGTAAGAATAAATGGAATTCCTCTTTTATCCTATTAAAAAAAAAAGCCCCATTGTGTGTGACCACATGCCCATCCCTGTAACTTTAACAAAGAATTTCACTTTAAAAAATATCTTGTGTTTTATTTGTTGAACCAGTTTTTCTCCTATTAGAGAGTAGGACCTTCGAATGGGTTGTGCTGACAATGCCTTTGTACCCTATTATCCTGAATGTGTAGGAAAGGAAGCACTTTCCGTCCATGATCCACTTCAGCACTACCATCTCCTCCCATAAGAAATAAGAAAGACTTGCTAATTCTAACACTATGCTCAGGATGTTCATTGGATCACAGTTATGAGAGGCAGAGTGATTACAGATTAAACAGAAGCTCTTTTTCTCTCCTCATTTGCTCTATGCAAAGGAAGCAATGACTCTTGTAATCTGAGAAGCTCGTTTTCTTCACTCTCTCTCCATTTACAATATGCCAGCCATTGCTAAGGTCATGTGAGAAACAGGTGATGTTAAAATTCAGGATTAGAGGTGGAGAGTGGGAGACCCAGTTTTGTCCAACATTTTTCTGACAGATCTTAAGCGATTAGTTGATGGAACTGAGTTCTACTTCTCATTTGCTCTTGGTCAATGCATACTTGGTTCTATTGGTGACTTCAAGAATTCCAGAAAAGTGAATGATGGAAAGAATAGATTTAGGGATCCCTGGGTTTCCAAGTCAAAACCCAATAACACACAGGAGACTGTTTTGAAGATATAGTTGTTAATTTAATTCAGGTAAAGCTTTTGTTGATGTTTCCAAAATTATTTGTATCTGTATGAAAAAAACATTCTCTTGCAGCCCACTCTGCAATTTATGAGCTATTAGTATGATCTTTTGAGGTCTTTGATTCAAAATAGTCAATAGACTGGAATCTTTATGAAATTCTGCATTTAAATAATTCCAGAAAGATGAAAAAGTGTTCACTAGTGGGAGATTTGCATGCATTTTGCAACTACTGACAGAAGCTGCCTCATGTCTCAATCAAACCATTCACGTGATGGTTTTGGGTTTCCTCCTCACTACTGTCTTTTATGTGATAATGGAGATAGGTTGAGTAAAGTCTTCTCATCTTAGTGAAATACAATTTATTGGGTCTCATCAGTTACTTTGCTATTAAATGGGTTGCTCAACTTTAAGTCTTCCTAGAAAGTGCCCCCAAATTAAGAGGGACTCCTAATGACCAAAGCTAAAGACAAACTGAGCCTCAGAATACATAAGACAGTGAATATTATGGACAAATGAATCAAGTAGGAACTCATGAGAATATTCAGATGTGTACAAATATATCAGTTAATAAAAATATTGAAAGTTTGATGATTATTGAGTCATTTACATAGGTTCGAAGTATTTCCCTTTGAAATATTTCTTAATTACAGAAGTGAAAATAGTGCAACTTTGCAGTGCAGAAGGATGGCAGACACCACCTGGGCCAAGTGACCATCACTCCATACCATCACCGGGAGTGAGATAAATCAAAATGATCAAAATTATGTGTCAGGAGTGTGACATCAGGAGGATACAGCATTAGCTCTGTGATATTTCTGCCAGTGATGCCAGACTCCAACTTAATAATGAAGAAAAACAAGACAAACCCAAGTTCAAATTAAGGGTATTGTGCAACATAAATGTCAATATTTAAGAAGTTAATAAATTATTGAGTAAGGTGTACAGAGATTAAAAAAGACCAAAGAGACATGACGACTACAATGTAACCAGTGATTCTTTATGAAATGAATTATTTTCTTCTAAAGGTTGTTCCTGAGACAAGTACAACTTCAATGAAATTCAGGATTAGACAGCAAAGATGCACCTGTGTTAATCTCTTGATTTTGATGCGTGTTGTGATTAATGTTATGCCACAAAGAGAATGTTCTTGCTTATATAGCAGAGGTTCTCAACCTGTAGGTCATGACCCACAGGAACTGTATTAAAGGGCCACAGCATTAGGAAGGTTGAGAACCACTGTTATATAGGGTGCCCTTAAAGTTCATGTGAAAATTAAAATCATCAATATGAAATAGTTCACTGTTTCAAACTGCACACAAACTTTATGGACCTGTATAATATTAACTAAACCATTCAAAAATTTAGGGCATCAGTTAGCATATCATTTTCAAATAGCTTATTGAAAACATATTTGGAATGAACTTGCAAAAAATGAACAAATATATAGGTTCTCCAAGAGTTGTGATCTGAGGCTAATCAGCCATACTGATATCTTGTTAAGTAAGGGACAGAGAACAGCAAACAGAAATATTAATGTAACAAAACCAAGAGTCGAGAATTACTGACATTTCATGGCCAAGGGTTTCCATACATGCTATAGCAGTGCAGGGTGCCAGTAATTAGCTTCAAACCAGTGATCCTTCCTGCTGAAGGACTAGGATCCAGAAAATGCTGTGATGGGACAGACATCACTTGTTCCCTGTCATACTAGGGCTTCCCAGAATCACCATCAATTTGCCTATAGACCTGTTTGGTGATCAAAGTCCACATTGCCTGGGTACACTGGTTTAATTAAGGCTCTCCGGGCAGCCCTCAACCACTGACTGATGGACATCTGTATATAAATGCTGTACCTCCTTCACACCACAGATGATAAATCACTCTCAGGTTGTGTGTTCTGCTGGGCCTCCTGGGGTTTCCCATTGGGTTTGAGGTCCCGCTGCCCACGGAAGTAATTGACTTGATAATACAAGTAGACCTTCCTTCAGTCTCCAGGCTTCCTTCTCTTCCTTGGATCATTCCTATCTCATTTCCCACAGTAATCTCCCAAATAAACTACACATATTCACACCCTCATCTCAATGTCTGTTTTCAGATAACTCGAACTAACAGCAACATTTAGCTTAATTCTTTTTGGTAAGGGCAAGTCTGATTCTGGGTATGGAGCTATTTAAGGTTGAAAACATCATCGCAGGTACCAATGGCTCATTTCATTTTAAATCAGAGGAGTTGTGCCAAACTGTGTTGAACTTAGAACACACATTTGATAACGGCAAATTGGTGCTTTTAAATATGGTTGGTAC